AATGGATGGTGTACGGCCACCAGTGCGCATTGCTGACATATCGGAACCGCGTCGGCTGGTGATTTTCTTGAAACCTGGGCCCGAGCAAAAACATTTGCATATGATACGCTTGAATGCGAACCGAAAGTCTTTCGAAAATAAGGCATAAATTAAGGGATTGATTGCACTGTTGCAGTAACCTAGCCAGAAGAACAATGAAAACAGCAACGATGGTATGCATTCTTTTTCACAAAATGCACGCACCAAGTACATACTGAAAAATGGCAGCCAGCAACACACAAATAAACCGACGATTATCGCCAACGTTTTTGCCGCTTTTGTTTCCATGCGAAAGCGTTTTACTTGCGCTTTGATATTTCGTTTGCCCATTTTTTTGCTCGTACGCGGTGACAATCCTTTATCCAAATTTGGCAAACTTTTTACCACTTGTAAATAGCTGTCATTGCCACCGCCACTGCCGCCGCGGAAAATTCTTGACGTCGTTAAATCCTTTCCATTCGATGAATAATGCACGGCATACAAAACGTTTGACTTTTGTGCGCTGGGACTAGTTATATTTTCCGATGATGGATAAGATACGGAGATTTTGATTTTGTCATGTTTGCGTGTCGAAAATTTGGAATGACGTTCGGGCGATGAGCTTCCAATGCTCGTTGATGTGCTGTGCGTGCTGCCATTGCTGAGCGATGATTCATGGTAATTTGAACCACGACCACGGTGAATTCGCAACGTTAAACGTTGCTCATCAAAACGATTGCCAATGCCTTTCGTACCTGTTGTTTTTGTTGAAATAAAAAAAAAAGAAAAAGAAATGGGGTGGTTTGTATTAGCTATCAAATCGGTTTAACGGTTCTACAAATCTCTGAAAATTGATTTGGGTTTGTCGGCAACTAGTTTACTGCGATAATCTGCTGGAAAAATGTCATTTTATCGTTCAAATCGAAGCGATTCAATCGCAAATCAAATGTTGCCCGAGCTTTCCCTCTATTCATCGCAATAAACTAGATCCAACAGCGTGTTTTAAACTAATTTTTTTCTATGGACCTTTTACTCTTCCGAATCTTTTTATGTGCCCACTTTTTCCACCCATCTTGATGAATTTTTTTTTCGAAAAAAAAATGTGTTATTTCCTCAAAACCATTGCTTGTGTGAGGTTTTAGCATTTTCTTCATGTGTTCATTATTATCTAAGCAAGTTTTTATATTTGGAGATTTAAAAAAACTAATTGTATTGATGGAACTCATACTTACAAAGCTTTCGTCAAATAATTAGCATAATAAGCGGTTTAATGAAAAGAATTTTATAGAAAAAAAAAATGAAGATAAGCAGTGCAAAATGAAGCTAAAATCGCGAAACAGAAGGCAGAAAAGAAATCAAAGAGCATATTAAAGCGCATATCTATAATACAGACAGCTATTAGCGTATGGCGGCTCTTATCGGTCTGAGAGTGTGTGCGAGTCTAACTCTGTTCGAAATCAATGAATTATGGCTGAGAGTGATAGCAATTCCACAGAGATTACATACTGGATGATGATCTATCCACTTTGAGATTGATTGGATTTGTCTTGATTTTCATATTACTTTTCGAAGTGAGTTTTTATCTGTTTGTGTGTATGTGTATGCGTGTTCGTATCATCACCATTTCATACGTTCTTTTCTCTTCTGAAAAAAAAACGTCGATATCTATATAAATTGATTCTATTCACGTTTCTCGTGTGCTTTGTCATAATACCGATACGCAGACACACAGAGATAGAGATAAAATCATTTTTCTGAGTCATCTACAATGGTTATTAACCGCACGTGGTTGAAAATCCGACGTCAATTGATGACGAAATCATTAGGTGAAGAACAATATAAAAGAGAGAAAGAGGGACCGAAGAATGTATGGATGAAGAAACAAGATTGAACGCGACAGAAAAATAGGATGGAATAAAGCAACCAATAATCAATATTGAATAACATATCACTGAAGCAAAGCCAGCCAATAAAATCATTAGAAGTGTTTCTTTTGGCATACGATTGTAATGACACGAGTCGCAAGTTATATGGGAGACATTGATTAATTCATTGGGATTTCCAACACGGTAAACATCCGATGAAGAAAGACAAAAAGCCAAGGGCAGGATGGGTGAGTTGGAGAGAGAGAGAGAGAGAGAGAAAGTGAAAAACAAATGCATAAAGAACGAGGGTGGTGCATACAGTATTCTTTAGCGATCAATTCAATGAATTGAACATCGATACAATGTTTACACACATTCGAATAGCAACTATAAACCAATCCATGCGATATAGTTTGCATTCATCGATTTCACATTTTCACAATCGACTTGTCACACACACACACGTTAGTTTGCCAGCAGCGTATCTGCCTATATGGATGTGTTTGAGTTCGAGTTCGAGTTCATGCATTGTGCACAACGGTACATTTGAAGCGAAAGCCAGCAAGCGAACAGGTGTTCGTGTGCTTAACGTGTCGATGCCTTTTTTATGTACCCGGGTGAACGCGATACGCTTTGATGAAAGCCTACAGTCGTTCGATGAGGCCTTCATAATTTGTATATATATTTTAAATACTGAACGCCTAGGCTTTCATTGCTATTCTCACTTCTTTCGTGCATTCGTAGCATTGAAAGCCTAGGCGTTCACTTGTACGTGTGTATGTTTCACGCTAGGCTTTCAATGCTACGAATGCACGAAAGAAGTGAGAATAGCAATGAAAGCCTAGGCGTTCAGTATTTAAAATATATATAAAAATTATGAAAGCCTCATCGAACGACTGTAGGCTTTCATCAAAGCATATCGCGTTCACCCGGGTAGTTACCTGAAAGCGCAGTGAGCATTAGGAGAGTGAAAAATATGTCAGTATCAAAAACGTCGAAATGGCTTAATACTATCTTCATGAACCTATTCGCCAGCAATCGTTCTCTCGCATTTTCATGCTCCTTTCGTTTGTTGCCCTTTTTTTCTCTTCCGATTTCATTCCGAAGGATGAGAAGACAAATGCAAACAAAAAAAAATCAAGTATCAAAATAAGCAACGGCTACGGTTGAATGTACGTTCACTCATATGATCGACCCTAGAAGTGAATAGCATCCAAAGTAGAGAGAAGAATCAAGCAAAAATCTATTGGAAAAGAGCATTATTATAAATACACACTGTTGCCAACGATAGACATCCCCGTAAACATCTATTTATTTCGTGATTTATTATCGAGTAGCAAAAATATGTCAATTACACTTTCTTGACAGCGATGAAATATCATTTAAATATTGTGAAGCGAGTAAAGACACGGTCTCTTGCTTTTGCTTTCGTTCGCCCACACATAAGTAACGTTTATGTGCAAATATCGAAAGGGATATATCAGGAAGTGGAATCTAAACACATGGATAACATACAATACATTGGTGTAACCGGGCACGAATGCGAACGAATGAATGCGGCAGAAGGGGAAACCCCAAGTAGCACAAGCATGCGAAGCAGCCTCCTCATTCTTCAACGACGACACGAGAAATCTAAGTTATACGTAATATTTTTGAGCAAGAGATTGGAAATGAAAATACGATGGAATATATCAAAATGAATCATTCGCATTCAATCATCACAAATGCCTAAATTCACCGCTGCATCATATTTGCACCCATGCGCTTCTCTTTCCGCTCATGCTTCTCTTCTTCTTCCTCCTCCTCTTTTTCTAGTCAAGCATGGTAATGAAATATTATAAATAAACGTTGCCAACATACCGATCATGTGCGAAGTGAGAAAAAAAGTGGCCAAACGATTTCTATTTTATAAGACTGTCGTTCATTCACGTGCATATTTGCCGTTACACTTCCATTCAAGTGGCTTAGGCAAAAGACGAAGATTGGAGAGATAGATGAGCAGGAAAAAAGAAAAATAATACCCATTATTTTTAGCCGAATTAATGTAATAGGTCGAAAGATTTCAATGATTGAGGACATTCGATTTGCGCGAATGTGTGCGCGTGTGTGCGTGTGTGCGCGCGCCTGAACATACATATGTGTTCTCTTCTTTTCTCTTTCTGCTTCTGTGTGCGGTGTAAGTGTGAGAATTTCATCAGAACAAAGTGAAAATCTTGAGGCCGTCGAATCAAGAGTTATCTTCATTACAATCGGAATGCAAAATCCCAATACGATTAAACCAAAGCTCCCAACAGACAATTTTTCTCGCTTGATTCCATATTCAAAATGATTTCATGATATTTTTTAACACAGTTCAAGCAAAAATACTAATGTTAAGTACCCCAAGAAACATTTGCGAGCGAGCAAGCGATCGGGTGGGCGCACAGGCGAAATAGAGAAAAACATATAGAGAAACTGTGAGTTCCTAATCGAGCTAAGCAATATATTATGGGTGGTTGCTTGTCCCAGCAGACATCACATATATATGCACCATAAATACCATGATTTCATGTAAAATCACCAAAGCTATTCTTTTTCTTGTTGATATTGATATAGTGGCTTTGGAGCGAACGCGAAAATTGCAGATTCATCGTAATTCGTTAGCCATTCCACGTCATATCGATGGTTTTGCTCATTCGTTTATCCGTTTTTTTTTTGTAACGTTTTCTCTTCATTTTGCTGGGCGATAGAATTAAGTAATCGCGGAGAGGAAAAAGCAAACAAAGACTTATGTGACAACCCGAACTATACCATTTGCCATGCCGAATTTTTGCAATAAGTTTGCTGGATGTCGTCCAAAATCTGTCGAATAATCTATGGAAGCCATTGGAATAACGGAGAGATGGCAAAAAAGAATGAAATCCATGCTCACAGTGATTCAAAATTCCCATTTAAATGGTTATGCTACAATATATCAAATGTAAATTTACGACTGGCAGTCAGTGGACTTTTCAAATGCATTCGTCACAATTTCATATTATGTAGATCGATCGTTTGGCAGATAGCAGCGAAAGTATGCATAAAATCATATTACGAATGGCATGTCGTATAAACGTCAAATCGCATATTGTTTCTCTCTCTCTCTCTCTCTCTCTCTCTCTCACTCACTCAGAGAGTACGTGTGTTTGTTTGTTTTGTTTGTTTGTTTGCTTGCTTGTGTGTATCGGAAATAGAAGCAAAACAAAAGCAAATGACCATAGGCACCAACCACTATACTCGGCGCGCACTAAACGAATCAATAATCAATTTACTCGAAATGTAGACAATCCAAACCACACACATATGACCTATCATTATTTACCTCGTCTATCTTGAACACATATATCACTTTCGTCGAGGGTGCACGCGCGCTCGCGCGACCGACGTATAGGCCTGATACATCCATTCAATGTACAATCACAGCACATATATGTGTTAGATTAGCCCTGTACTTTTTTTTCCTTTTTCAATCAATAGCACTTTTAATACCATTCCCTTAATTTGTTATTGTTTCATTTGGATTTTTTTTTGTTTTTATTTACCCGTCGACAAAATATGTGTCATCTCAGATAATGCCGTATAAATCATATTTTTGCCTCTTCAAATGGCAATGAATTGTCTTTTCATTCGATTTTCTGAGCCTGCGAGCTTCTTTGACATTGGTTTTCAATGCGATGGCAAGCGTATACCATTTATCCCCATTTTTCTCCTCCATTCTCTCTTTCTTTTCATATTATGACTTTAGAGTCTAATGTAATAGTGCTGTGTCAGGTGTTCTCTTGCCCATACAAAACCATATATATATCGATGGTAGGGAAGAAGATGAAAATGAAAAAAAAAAACAAAACTTAACCATGGAAAAAGCGAAATTATAAATTGGCCCACACCAAATGGATTTTGTGTAGGTGAGACTTTACGCTCCACAGAGAAGAGAGTGAGATAGAATGAGATAGTCAGTTGAAAATCCGTCGACACCAACGCACACGCTACGCAGCGGAAGGCGTTTAACGAGAATCCACTGGGGAATGGTGTATGACACACACACACTATGTGTATGTGTGCGCGCTTTTATTACTAAACGCAGTCAAAAATAACAATTTAAAATGGGTAACGTGTATAAGTGCGACGCAGGGCGCTCAAAGAATGACCAAATAAAAAACCCGACATTAGAAGAAATAAACTAAAAATGAAATCAGGTAATTGAATTTAGTATACTTTTTTTGCTTTCTTCTTTTCCTCGGCATATCCATTTTTTCAACCATTCACAACACACAGCAACAGCAGTTAACATTTCATTCAAAAATCGTCGAATCACAGTTCGGATGAAAGTTTTTTTTTTTTGGTTTTTTTTTCGCGAATTTTTGGTGAATTTCAGTTGAATTTGTTTTGGGAATTTGTGGAATCGCTGCGTAAAATTCGCAAAGTTCCAGAATTTTTTTGAAATTTTTGAAATTCTAGAACCCAAAACACCCAAAATTCAACTGAAATTCCGAAATTCACCGAATAAATTCAACAGAAATGCACCAAAAATTCACGAAAACGAAATTCGCCAAAAAACAAAAAAAAAACTTTCGTTGGAACTCCCCATACAATGAAGATTTTTATTATTATTCAATCGATCATCGCCGAAATCGATTTTCGGAGACCTTCTTTCCCACTCTTTTTTGTTTGTTCATCTTTTTCATAATTTTTTCTCCCCTTTCTTCGCACAATCACAGTATGATATTCGTTGAGGCAAAGCAACTGTAAATGTCATCAATGATTATGGAAATCCTATATGTTGTGCGCCAATGAACACAAAGCCCAGCGGGTGGTCGGCTATAAAAAGTCAAAAAATTAAAATAAATCCTACAAAATGCCGACCATGTCACAATTCCCAGTGTAGTTGAAATCGTTATGAAGCAACATTATCATGGCATTGACGTTTTGTAGACTTTTAAATGCGTACACATACGTAAAGCTAGCTCACGAAAATTTACATAGCCACACAGTATAAATGTGAATTCATTGAATGTTGATTTTGTTATATTGTGGCCCATTCAAACGGCGACCAGGAAAAACTTTCGAGACTGAAAAAAGCTGGATCGATCTCATTTAAGATTTTATTGAAGAAGTTTTTTTTATTTTGCATATGTGTAACGAATAGATAAACGATAAAAATCGTTGTGGATGGAATGTCAACGGAAACGGGGGAAAAAGATTTTGTGTATTCGGTTTTTTCAGGTATTTATTTATTCTTGGCCACAAACGCTTATTAATAACAGCAACAATATGGTTTTCTAATGCATTTTTTTACTTTCTTTAACACTGACTGTTTTTTTTTAATTGCCTACAATAGTGAGAGATCATTTAAAAGGCATCGTTAAATGGAACAAACAGAAAATTAAGAAATAAAAACATTTTACAATACAATCTATTTCGTTTTAACGTGGGAAAACGCTCAAGTAACTCATCTCATATGAATATTCTAAATGGCAATATCAGTGGCTTTTGATATTTTACCACCACCCATATAATATCTACGTATTGTATACGATTATATGATCTCCCATTTTGGATGTGGGTGGGTGTGTGCTGAGGGAGTATACAAATATGTTGAATTTTGAAGACACTGACAGGGAGCAATTTCACTTATGAACTGATTACCTACTTGATTGAATTCAACATTTGCATAATAATTAATTCTTTTCTGAAAATGTCTATGCTTTTCTCATTTCATTCCACTCCTTACAAACATTTACACACAATGAAACAAAAAAAGAGTTGGAAAATAACAAAGGATAACCAACGAACGAACGAACGAGATCTATGTGTATACGTATAAATTGTGCATTGATTTGATTTGGTTGTGCACTTGAACGCGTTGCGCGTGGGGCGCAACAGAAGGTCGATTGAGCGCTTTACCAGCATTTATTTAAACTTAGCTCTCACATATAATGTTTTACGAGTAGTAGTTTCGTTATGCAAAGATTTATGTTATGTTTCTATTTCATTCATATGCTTGTTTGTATTTATGTGCTTCTCAGCGTGTGTTTGGTTTTTCTTTCTTTTTCATTTGTTCCATCTTCTTCATCTTCATCTTCATCTGCTAAAGATATCTTCAGTTGATTTGGTTTCAATCTTCCTTCGACTGGTATTGACATTGTCTGTTGATGTTTGTGTGTGTGTGTGTATGTGTGTTTATTCGCTGTTGCACCTACGGCGTTGAATCTGTTATCGTCGATATTGTTGTTGAATGATGTGTTGTGTCAATTGATTCCGGTCCGATTGATTCTAAGCAAATCATTGGGTTTGTGATAGACGTTGTTTTGAATTTGGTTGCGCTGCTGGCTTTTCGTCGATAGTTTCCATGTCGGTTAGCTGGCCGTAGGCTGTTCATTGACCGATGTCACCTGGACGCATCGCCCGTGTTACTGTACTGAAACAGACCTTTGCTGGCCGCATCGTTTCCAGCATTGCGATTGCAACAGTGAAAGCACAAGCACTTGTACAGTATTGTCTTAAATGCTATTCGAAAATCTTTCGAAAATAAGGCATAAATTAGGGGATTGATTGCACTGTTGCAGTAGCCGAGCCAAAATAGAATGGAAAATAGCAGCGGTTCAATGCACAATTCGCAAAATGCGCGGATCATGTAAACGGTGAAAAAGGGACACCAACACAAGATGAAACCCCCTACAATTACCGCCAACGTTTTGGCTGCTTTAGTTTCCATGCGAAACCGTTTTGCTTGCACCTTGAATATACGACGGCCAACACCTTTGATTGTTTTGCTACCGTCACCACCACCACCACCACCACCGACTTTTGCATCCAACACTTGATTGGTCTCATTAGCCGCCTTATTGTTGCACAGAAATGATTCCATGTTCTCTTTACGATTTAGTGTGATTTGCATCATGTGCAAAATTGGACTCTTGCTGGTGATGGCTATGTCATTTGCCGCGCATTCCGCTTTTATTTCATCGGTACGTGATTTGGCCAAACATTCACGCCGTCGTTCTAATGATGTGGTGCCAATGCTTTTCGATGGCTTCAAATGATGTCCGGTCAATGGCGGTGAAATTCGTGGCACACTATTTGATCGTCGTCCACGATGAATGCGCAATGTTAAACGGGTCTCTTCGAAGCGATTCTGTTTTGATGAACCTGCAATTATTCAGTGTCACCGTATAAAATATACAAAACCATAATCATCCCGATACTGCAAAAAAATGAAATGAAATGAAATATACTCAAATCGAACCAAAAAAAAAATATTAGTCAGAGAGAAAGAAAATGAAAAGAATCCAATTCAAATTCGCACACAAATGCTTAACAAAAAATCATACAAAACAAGAGTGAAATACGGAATGAGAGAGAAAGGAAAAGAAATAATAATAAAAAGCCGAGAGAGAGAGAGAGAGAGAGAGAGAGAGAGAGAGAGAGAGAATGAGGAATGAAAAAAAAATCCAACTAAAATCGAATAAGTGACACAAAATCAAAAAGCAAGATGAAAACGAAACGAAGGGCAATGCAACAAATCAGACAACGTGAATGAAACAGAACACACAAAAAAACGATGAAAAATACGTCTCGTTGATTGAATGAAGGGAGAGACAGAGAGTGATACAGAACAAGAGCAAGAGCGATAGATTTCTTCTGAGATATACGGTAAATAAGGGAACCAAATGCTACATAGAATTAGAAGGATCCAAAATTCAGACGAAATCGGTTTGGTAAGATATGGTTTGAATTCAAAAACAGAGCACAAAGAGTGTATAGAGAGAGATAGAGAGAGAAAGAGCAAAAAAACACACAACAAAAGTGAGATGCGAGCAAAAAGTGTAGCTGGTGGATGAGGACTTTTTACGCATTCACTTTGTATTTCAATTTTTCAATGCAAAATATATATATATGTATGTATGCCTGTGTACAAAATACCAAATCAAACGGCACGAATTACACAAAATACCAGACTCACTTACTTCGCAAACATTAATCTATTTGTTTAGAAATTCGTGGTGCTGGGATCCTTTTAAATATCAACTGTTTAGGTGAGCTTTTTTTTATATATATATATATACAAATAGATCTACATTTTATGTATTTGTTGTTGTTCTTGTTGCATTTACGTTCTAAAAGTAGGTATATTAATGTAAAAACAAACATGGGTATATCTTTACTTCTTCTTTTTCGAACTTCTTTCGTTTGCAATGACTTTTACTACCATAATGTCAAAGTAAAACGTATCGATTTGGAAACCTATTTAGTTCTCAAATGAAAATAATGCCAGATTATATTGAAGAGAATTTCGGTGAAGCCGAATGTGGTATGGCAGGAGGAGGGTGGAGATAGAGAGATAGCGAATGTAATGGTTGTGCTGTAGTACTTTATATGAGCCGAATGTGATAAGAATGTATGAGATGGCTGGTTGGTCCTTATTCGAGAAAATGATTCAGTGCCACCTTATCTACAGGTGGCGCTGCATTGAAGTGGCCTTCTTGACCTTTTTTCTCTTTTTTTTCTTTTAGATTGTTATTGTTTGGCCTGTAATACATTTTGTTCGGCTGCATTGATTGCTTTATAACGTTTACCAGTTGATTCGATGTATTGATATACGGTAACACATCCATAACATACATTACACACAATGTATATATGGGTCGAATGGCATCATCTAATCGAATATGGACTATTATTCCTATCGAACGGAAAACAATTTGTGCTAATAAAAAAATCATTGTCTGCATTGTGTTTGTTATGTTCGCCGCTCGTGTGTCTCTCGGTGTATGTGTGTGTATTCGTTTTCTGATGAGCCCATCGTATGTAAACTGTCGGTGTCGAACAAAAGGTAATCTATGAATGATGAATGTGCGTCAATAGACGCATACACAGGCTGTGTTATTTTGACGGTTCGCTTTTAACTTAAAAATAACAGAAGAGAGGAAAAACACACACACACACACACATGCTGGGATTTCGTACATTGATTGCCGCTTCGAAATGTTGACGGCCCTTATTTTTAGCTTAGCCAATTCGATTGACACAATGCATAAATCAAACGTTAGCCTACGTACGGCCGTTATGGGAGCAAACCAAAAAGGAAAATCAATAATCGATTACACATCGAAAGTCTTTGATGGGGAGTTTTAACAGCAGATCGCACAACCAAGTGAGGGATAACCAGAAAATATATCATCCATTTGTTGCGTTGATGCGTTTGTTTGTATGTGTGTATACGTGTGCTGTTGCTGTCGATGAAAAGCTTTGCGTTTAATGGTATATTTATGTAGCAAGGGGCGGGAAGATGAAGAAAGTCAGTGTTTTGGGAATTGAGAATCACTTGTCGATCAGGTATCTGTCCGGCTGTGAGTTATGCGATAAAATTTGTGATCTATAAATAGCCGAACATTTCTTCAATGTAAGTCTTACATTTTAAGAGACCGTGGCCCGAACGGAATGAAATGGGAACTTCACTAAATCCATCATTGGCCTGTCAATATGGATTACGGTTTCAGTATACGAAACAGCCGAAAATCAAAATCGTATTGCTGATGGGAGCTTTTTTTGAAAGAGTTTACCAGGCACCGTATTCCAAAGCAAAACACATGTATGTATCATTTGTGGGTAAACACTTGTAGCACCAAATAGAAATTATCAAATGTATCGAACAACAGCAACGGTAGCAGCAGCAGCAGTAATAACAACAGAAATGTAAATCCGATGAGTCGTTGATTAGATCTCAAGATCAAATAAATAAATTGAGATTGGATCATGAATATTTGCGCTCGATTTTCGGCTACACAATCTTTTATCTATACTACGTATGTTATGTGTTCCATGCTATCCTTTTTTATTCATCGCTTCCTCTCTCTCTTTCTCTCTCTCTCTATCTCTTTCATTCACACATTCCACCTCGCACCCCGTATCAAAGGTGATATTTTCGAGTGTTATCTACTCTCTATTTTGGATTTATTTATTTTTGGAGGCATGTTTTTCGTCGCTCCACATTCAATTTTATACACGTGTGTATGTGTGTGTATGTGTGTTGTGCCATATTTGCACATCGCAACAGTTACCCCACAAACCAATCGTTCGTATGGTATATTTCAAATGGCAAAAGGCCAACCAGAAAGTTTTGAAGATAGATAGTTTATATCCATTTCGAAATGTGTTATCTTTTCAACTATGTGCATGGGAATACTCTATCGATTGAGTGTTGTTTCATGTTGCAGTTTTATTGATTTAGTTATATCCAGTGAATGTACAATGTGCATAAATTGCAGTACGATACGTTTATGTGACTCACAAAAACACACACACAAAATACGAAAATGGATTTGGTTTGGTTTGGCATGGTTTGTTATGGTGACAACTAGCAAGACAATGGAAATACGATATTCCGTCTTCTAGGTCATACCTACAGCTCTATGACTTTTGAACATTTATCTCTTTCGAATGACTGAGTTTGAAAAATGCACATTTAAATTATAGTCGCCGGGCAAATTGCACTAAAATCGAAGAAAAACTCGCGGCGTGGGCACGATGCCTGACAACAACCGAACGATGTGTATAAGAATGGGAAAATAGAAATATTTCACGCTCAAAATGAATGCGACAACAATGTGATGATAAAACATATTTTGGAAATCTACATTCGCATTGAATATCGTCGTCGTCGTCGTCGTCGTCGTCGTCGTCGTCGTCGTCGTCGTCGTCGTCAACAACAATAACAACAACGATGTCGACGACGCTTGCCTCACCATTCAACAGCATTTACAACAGCTTATAAGCTATTATGATTATAAGAATTGTACATATAAATAAACCTATTTTGCATTTCGGATGCATCTAGATTAGCGTGGAAAATATTCGTTTGAGTCAAGCTCAGAGAGTGCAAAAATAAATACGCAAACTTTTTAAATAACTTTAAAGAATAGTTTTGGCGTCGATTCGTGTGTCGAGTCAACCGGCAGACAGATTTTCCAAGTCGTTGTCTTTTTCATTCGTTCATATTGCATCGATGTTTGCCTTCCCGTGTGTGTATGTGTATGTGCACGAAAACGTGTATTGGTTATTCCAATATTTGCATTTCCACGTTCGGTGTTTTTTTTTTGTCTTTATTTGTTTTCGTTTATTTATGCGTTTGTGCAATGCCAAAAATATTTGCGCACAATTCTAATTAAAAATTGCAAACGTTCGACGGATAATCTACAAAAACTTTTGACGGAAATAGAGATGGAAAAGTTTAAAATAAAGTGAAGAGAGAGAGAGAGAGAGAGAGAGAGAGAGAGAGAGAGAGAGAGAGAGAG